AAATCGGTCGTTTGCTTTCTCTCTCTCTCTCTCTCTCTCTTTTCCTCATTTTTGATAATCGACCGTTTTGATGTTAATTTAATTGCCTTGTTTGAATACGTTGATAACCTCGTTACCATCAGTTATTTTAAAATTTCCCGCAAACGTTTGTTGTTTTCTTCTTGTTAAACAATTAAAATAAAAGAGGAAAATCAAGGGAAAAATTTTATTATTATTATAAGGAACCGATTTGGGCGGGGGGGGGGATGATGTAAAACTGACGATGGAAAATCGCGTGACGCGAAAGAAAGAAAGGAAAAAAATGGGAGGGAAAAAATTTTTTAATTTGAAATTGTTTTTTGTCAACACGTGGTGTTCCGTTATCAAGAGAGAGAGAGAGAGAGAGAGAGAGAGAGAGAGAGAACGTGAAATGTATTTTTGATAACGAGAACTCGTAGAATTCGTTAATTTTGGAATTTTTTTTTTTACGTGCGTGACCGTTAATCGTTGAAATTTTTTTTTTTTTTTTCTGTTAATAACTTGCGTTCGAATGTTAAGAAGCCAGCCAACCTTGAGGTTTACGTAAATTTTTTTTTTTTTTTGTCCTTTGATTCATTAAAAAAAAAAAAGAGGTAAAAACAACGTGGCAAACTTTTATTATTATTATTATTATTATTATTATTATTATTATTATTATTATTATTATTATTATTATTATTATTATTATTATTATTATTATTATTATTATTATTATTATTATTATTATTATTATTATTATTATTATTATTATTATTATTATTATTATTATTATTATTATTATTATTATTATTATTATTATTATTATTATTATTATTATTATTATTATTATTATTATTATTATTATTATTATTATTATTATTATTATTATTATTATTATTATTATTATTATTATTATTATTATTATTATTATTATTATTATTATTATTATTATTATTATTATTATTATTATTATTATTATTATTATTATTATTATTATTATTATTATTATTATTATTATTATTATTATTATTATTATTATTATTATTATTATTATTATTATTATTATTATTATTATTATTATTATTATTATTATTATTATTATATATTATTATTATTATTATTATTATTATTATTATTATTATTATTATTATTATTATTATTATTATTATTATTATTATTATTATTATTATTATTATTATTATTATTATTAATTATAATTAAAAACGAAGTTGTGATGAGTATTATCATTATTAGATTGTTATTATTATTATTATAATTATGAGATTGTTAGTTCAAAATTTTTTTCCCCCTCACCTAATTGGTATCTGACGTGAATATGAAAAAATTAAAATTTTGAAAATTTTATTTTTTTTTATGCACGCAAACACACACACACACACTCAAACAAACGCCTAAACCCACACACAAACAAACACAAACACACACTTACAAACAACTCTAACTCACACAAACAAAGACACACACACACAAACAAACACACAAACACACTCAAACAAACAACTCTAACACACAAACACAAAGACATTCAACTCTAAACCTTTTTCACCCTTTTCATTTTTACTCTTTATTTTTAACGTTAAGTTCCAACAACCGTTTTTTTTTTATTTTGTGTTTGTTCGACACCGCAAACTTATATCATATATCATATATATACATATATTGATAATAATAATAATAACATCTTTTTTAACCTCCATTTTAAAACGTCGTTCCTTCTAAAAACTTATTTAACTTAACTCTGACACTAATTTATTTGAATTACATAATTTTTATTATGACTATTATTATTATTATTATTATTATTATTATTATTATCATCATTCGTAATACGCCTCTAACTACAATCGTTACAAATGTAATAATAAATTAAAACCTTTTATCGTAACTATACAATCTTTATAAAAAATGTCTTTATTTTTTTTTTTATTTATTTTATTTCCGATCGGCCATCTTACAATACAAAAAAAAAAAATCAACGGTTTAAACTAATATAATTAATTGTTACTTTTAAATTTAACGTTGAGTTAAAAATTCATTCGACCTAATATAATAATAATGATGATGATGATGATGATGATGATGATAATGATAAAGTTAAAAGTGAAAAAAAAAAAAACGTATATGAAAAGAGTTTATTAATATAAAAGAGAAATCATTTGTTTTCGTTTGTTATTCGTCCATTTTGTTTTTTTTTTTTTAACTTGAAACTTTCACTTTTTCCATCTTTGAATTTTGGAATTTTTATCATTAACGGAGATCCCCTCACCTTGGCTTTTTATGACGTCACAAAACGTGGAAGACTAAAAATTTTTTTCGAACGATTTCGAACGTTCGTTCAATTTTCTGAACAAAAATCGTTTTTTTGTTTTTTTTTTTTTAATCATTTCGTTCGGGATAATAAATTTATATATAAAAATTAAATATTTAAATTATAATTGGTCACGACGTAAAAAAGGTCAAAAGGTTAAAATAAAATTTTTTTTTTTTTGTAATTATTATTAACGGAAATGTTAACGTTCCACACGGTTTCGAATTGTTTTTTTTTTTTTTTTTTTTTTTAATTCTTTGAGAATAATTTAAAATTTGTATTTTTTTTCTCCAGTTTTTTTTTTTAAGGTATTGTCGTTCTCCAGTGTCTAAACAACAAAAATTATTATTATTATTATAAATTCCAGTATCGAAGTGTTAATTTAATTCAAAATCGCTAATGAACGATTACAAACGCATTTGGGATGCGTAAAAATTTTTTACGCCTTCATCCCACTAACGAAAAAAAATTTTTTTTTTTTTAATTTCTTACACCGGAGTTTATGAAGGGGTCAAAAGTTCACGAGTTTATAAAATAAAGATTTTTTTTTTTTTTTTTGGTAAATTTTTCCACGATATAATTAAATAAACCGACAAATTTTTTTTTTTTTCAACTATATTATTAGCTTTTTTTTTCATTGTCGAAATATTATTATTATCAGACGCCATTGTTATTTTATTTATCGCGACACTTGATACCTAATTATAATAATAATAATGATAATAATAAATCATTAACCGTAATTGAAAATAAGGTAATAAAAAAAAAATAATAATAATAATTGGAAAAAAAGAGCAAATTAAAAAAAATTTTTTTTTTTTTTTCATTTACTTCCGTTAAATTTTTTTTTTCTTTTCTGTTCTTCCTAATTATTATTATTATTATTATTATTATTATTATTATTATTATTATTATTATTATTATTATTTAAAAATGTTTCGAGATGGTTTTTAAATTGTCGGTGAAAGGTGTTTAAATGTTTTTTTTTTTTTTTTTTAAACTCGTTACACTTTGTTAAATTGTTTTTAAAAGAAAAAAAAAAAAAACGTGGCACAAGATGTGAAAAATCAAACGGTTTTTAATAATAATAATAATAATTTCACACGATTAATTATTAACATAAAATAAGCGAAGGGATTTATTATCGTTATTATCGGTGTAAACGAACGTTTTTTTAAACGTGGCACGAGATAAAAATTCCAATTATATTAACTTATATAAAAAAAAAACGAAACGAAACGTTTTTATACCGGAACCAAAAATAAATTTTTTTTCCAGGAATATTTACGTATGATAATGATAATGATGATGAACGTTTTCCATCGAATCACAAAAAAAAAAAAAAAAAAAGAAAAATTCGTTTTCATAACAACATTTTCCAGTTTGTTTGTTCGACCAAGGTCGACAAGTTAAAAACCGTTTTCTTTTTTTTTTTTTTTTTATTCACGGAATTACTCCTTATATTACCTCAGCATAAATTTTTTTAAAAATAATTTAAAACGAACAAAGAAATTAATAATACTACTAAACTGGAGAAAAATTTTAAACTAAACAAACGACAAACGATTCCAAAATCAACATTATCCCTCTCATACTTCTTATTTTACAAATTATGATAATATTATTAATAATAATAAAATGCAATCAAATTAAAATCGATTCATTATTTAAAATAAATAATATTATAAATAAAATAAATAATAATTTTTTTTTTTCTCTAAGGCTGTAGTTTAAAAAAAAAAAAAAATGGCGATAAACTACTTTTACGCGTTCGAATTTTTTTTTTTTTTTTTAAATAAAAAAAACCGATTTCACCACCGTAAAAACAACTTTCGTGTCTTGTAATTATTACTACCAGTTAAAAAAAAAAAAATTTAACGGTTTTTTAAAAAAAATATTTGTCCTCGTATTATTAAGTGATCGATTATAATATATATAATTATATTTATATATTATAACGGTTTATTACCATCGTATCAATTTTGTCCAGTTATCATCAACTGGATTTTATCAATTTATTACAGATAAGAAGGATTTAATTTCGAAAAAATTATTAAAATTCACGTTGGTCGCGGGTTTTTGTGAAATTCAACCAATTTGACCGACCGACTACTCATAAGGATTTATTATACACGTTATCATTGTTTTGACTTGAACAACAAACAACAACAACAAACAACAACAACAATGTTATGTTGATAATAATAACAATTCATTATCATCATGTAACTTTCAAAAATTTCTTTTACATTATTATTATTATTATTATTTCGACTTCCTTAATTTTTGAGAAAGTATTTTGTTTTGTGAGCGAAGGGGAAACAAACAAACAAACAAACATAATTTTATCAATCAAAAACATGTAAATTTTATAAAAACATTTTATAATAACCTAATTTTTTACTCTTTTTCGTGATTTATTCATAGAAAAACGTGATTAAACTTTCACGATTAAAGTTTGTTTGTTTTCCCCTCCCCCTTTTGGATGATTGTGAAATAATTATGTTGAGTAAAAAAAACAAAAAGGTGTAAATTTACCTGTTTAATTAGATATCCGCCATTTTGTTTTTATATTGAGATGTAGCCAAGTGTTTTTTTGAAATGTTTGTTTTAGCACATGGACAACATCTCTTCAGCGAGAATTCACCGCCGATATTAACACTCGACAGATCTTGGGATATTCCGATATTCGAACCTGTGGGATCAATAATAACACGTGTAAAAGCATTCGATCAAGAAAACGACACGCTCAGATTCGGATTAGAAATGATTGATCCGAATAAAAAAAATCCTTTTGTTATAGATCCGGAAACGGGAGTTGTTAAATTAAAAGAATCCCTGGAAAAAAGAGTGAGAATTTAATTAATTTTTTTTTTTAAATCCGTTTTCCGTTATTCGAATACGTCAAAACGCCATTTTTTTTTTTTTTGTCGACAGGGAGGAGAAAAATTTTTAATGTATGTCACGGTAAACGATGGACACCTGACGATGAAAAGTGAAGTTTTTATAAATATAAAAAATTCAAACGGAAACGGTACCAAAGATTCATCATTTAATAAATCACCGAGACCCGGTTATTATCCGCCATATTTATTACCAAATCATCCCATTGTACAACAACAACAACCACAACCCGATATTGTTTCTCCTCCAAAAATTATTTCCACATTGGAACACGTTATCCCAACTAAACAAAAGACTGAAAAAAATTTTATAACGACTGTAAAACAAGGTACGTCAAAGAAAAGAAAGAAAACAATTCAATAATCGATCGATACAAGGTCAATAATTATTTGTAAAAATTTTTTTTTTTTAATTTTCCAGATGAAGAAGATGAAGAAACGATGACGACGACATCTCCTTCTCCTCCTCCTCCTTTTATAAGTACCAAAATAAATGTCACGGCAAATTCAACAAATGTATCGTCTAATGAAATCGCTTACACTATCATTCCAACAGCTGTTGTATGTGGTATCATATTTTCAACAGTACTCGTTGCATTTTTGTTCAGAAGAAAACTTATAAAATACCGTAACAAAATGCAAAAGGATGACTTGGTAAAAAAAAATAAAATAAATAAATTTTTTTTATCTCGAATAATCGCAAGAATTTTTTTAACTGAAAAAATAAAAAATAATTTTCAGAGAAAAGAATCTCACGGCGGTATCATTTTAGAAGATCCGATTGCTATGCATCATTGGAGAGGTCCAAGAGCATTTAGTAACAGATACGAAGGATGGGATAGCGACAGAGCACCAATGGTATATAATTTTTACTTTAAAAAAAAAAAAAATTTTAAAGAACGAAGATCAGAACGTAAAAAAGAATTATCATTATTATTATTATTTTTTTAAGCCTCCTCCTATACAAAACGATCGTGATATTATCAAACCTGGTGACAAGTGGGAATTTCCAAGGCATCATCTTAAAGTATTCAACATATTAGGAGAAGGATGTTTTGGACAAGTTTGGAGATGCGAAGCATTAAATATAGATGGTAAGAAATTTTAGCACCGTCACTCCAAGTAGTACCATGATTTACGTTTTTTTTTTTAAATGCTTGTTCGATTATTTCTCGAAAAGAAAAAAAAATAAAAGGGAGGGGGGGGGAATTTATTTTCTGCTCGAAAATTCGTTTTAAATATGGCGGAGTAAATAATAAAAAAAAATAAAAAATAAAAAAAAAATGCTTAATTAAAAATTTGGAAAATTTTAAGTAAAAGTACAAAAACATAATAAAAGATGGCTGACGAAGAAGAATTATATTTTGAAGAAGAGGAAAATGATGAAGTTCAACAAGTTCAGAAACCACTTATACCAGGCATACCTGCACCACCTACATTCGAAAATCCTCAACCAACTCCACCGGAAACGGTTCAACCGGCTGAAGCTCGACCGGCTGAGGCTCCACTGATTGCAGATCCATCGGCTGCAACTCCACTGACTGCAGCTCAATCGGGTCCAACTCCATCGACTGGAGCTCCACCGAGTTCAACACAAACTGTTTCGCCATCTAAAGTAGGATCGGACCCAATACGTGGAAAATCAGGAAAAGGAAAACCTCAACCTGCAAAAAAAAACAAAAACGTTCCTCCGCAACCGGAGCCGAGAAGACCCACGGAAGAAATTGCTTCAAAATTGCAACCGAAAGTCATAATTGAAAAATTAGAGGGTTATTATAAGAAATTCATAGAATTAAGATACGAAATAAGAGATTTAGAAAAAGAAGTCGGAAGATTGGATCGTAAAAGAAAAAGGTGGAGGGCGAGTCAAAGCGAACTTAAATTAAGAAAAATTAAAATGAAAGAACTCGCGGATAAATGCGAAGAATTTGATAAATTAAACGTTAAAATCACCGCTTTGCGAGAAGCTGCAGTTTTAAAAGACATAAAACCCTCCGACATGCCTCCAGAGCCTCCACCACTTGAAGAAGAACAAGAGGATGAATGTTTACCGGAAGATGTTTTACCAAGAGTTATCGTTTGTGCGACACAAAATTTTGAAAAAATGACACAAGTACCGAAAATTGTGGTTTGCGTTGATGATTCATGTAGGCAACCTGAAAAAAAAGAAGAAAAAGAAAAAGAAAAAGAAGGAGGAGAAAAAGGAGGAGGAGGAGGAGGAGAAGAAGAAGAAGGAAACAAAAATGAAACGGCGGAAGCGCGTCGAATGAAATTAAATCGTCCCCTTTTATAATAAAAAAAAAATTGTACATAATTTGGAAAATTTAAAAAAAAAAATTATTAACTAATTTATTTTTTTAGTAATTAAATATTATTATTATTATATATTTTTCACAGGAAGAGAAGGAACAACGGTTGTCGCCGTGAAAACCCTTAAAGAAAGTGCTGGAGAAAAAGAAAGAAAAGATTTATTACAAGAATTGGAAGTTATGAAATCATTAGAACCTCATCCAAACATCGTCAGACTTTTAGGTTGTTGTACTAAAAAAGGTACAAACAAATTTTTTTTTTTTTTTTTGATAATCAAAAACATTCATATCGCTACAGAAACATTTTCATAATTTTTTCTTTTTCTTTTTCTATCAGATCCACTTTTTGTAATCATGGAATTTGTTTCTTTGGGAAAATTACAAAGCTACTTGAGAAATTCAAGAGCTGAAAGATGTTATGGAAACATGCACGGAGAAAGTAAAACTTTAACGTCAAGAGATTTGACAAGTTTTGCTTATCAGTGCGCAAGAGGAATGGAATTCTTATCAAATAAAGGAGTAAGAAAATTATTAATTAATTAATATTAAAAATTTTCATGAAATCAATTTCATTTTAACCATTTTTTTTAAATAGATCATTCATAGAGATTTAGCTGCACGAAACATACTCGTCAACAACGATCAAGTTTGTAAAGTTGCAGATTTTGGTTTTGCCCGTGACATAATAGGTAGTCACGTGTACGAAAGAAAAAGTGAAGGACGTTTACCAATAAGATGGATGGCTCCGGAATCATTATACGACAATATATTTTCCGTTAAATCGGATGTTTGGGGATTCGGTGTTTTGATTTGGGAAATCGTCACTCTAGGTATTATTATCGTAAACCCCCCGTATTTATAATTTATTGGGGTGATATTTTACTACGTGACATTTTCGTTTTTTTTTTTAAAAGGTTCCACGCCGTATCCTGGTTTAGCCGCGGCGGATGTAATGAGAAAAGTAAGAGACGGTTACAGATTGGAAAAACCCGAACATTGTAGAAGAGAATTATATAACATTATGTATTATTGTTGGGATAAAGATCCGAAAGAAAGGCCGAGTTTTCAAGAGCTCGTTACACTTCTCGAACAACTTTTACTTAGTGAAACGGATTACATTGAACTTGATCGATTTCCAGATCATAGTTATTACAACATGATTAGTTTAAGCGGAGAAAAATTGTAAATATATATATATATATATATATATATATATAAACACACAAACACAAACAATAATACTCTTTGAAGGACTTTTTATAATAAATGGGAATAAGTCCTCCTCCTCCTCATACCTCCTCCCTTAACTAACCAAAGAGAAATACAAAAAGTTTGTTTGTTTGTTTGCCTGTATCAACACAATCTTATCGTGTTAAAATTAGTTTCAGTGTTAAAAATTCTTCGACAAAAAATTTAACACCGAAGACATTTTTAGTTAAACCCCCAGTAGTTAATAAACCTAAACATTGTTTCGACAAACCAATGTTACAATTTAAAATCGGTTATACTTTTATTTTTTTTTTTTTTTAACTTAATTTTTTATAATGTTCTGTGTCAGAGTGTTTTATGTTTTCGCCTATCGTTAGTATCATTGTCATTGTACCGATACTTAATATTTTTACTCATCATCAATTTTTTTAAAACCGTTTAAACTTTAACCTTTTGTTAAAAGCGACAAAATTTTTTTATTTGAACCTTGATATTAAGAGAAACAAACGACAATTACGCATTTGATATTTCTCATTTCATATTTTTTTGGTTAGTATGGTTGGACTTAACCCCGAACAATATTATTGTACATATTGCGTTGTAATTTTTTTTTTTTTTTTATATGTATATATTTACGAGAAAAAAAATCGTTTTAAAATATAATTCAATAAATTATAAATATATATGAAGTGACCAAAGTGTAATAAGATACAAAAAAAAAAAAAAAAAGAAAAATGTATTGTTATGTGTAAAAAAAATTAAATTAAATTAATTATGATTGAAAAAATTTTTTTAATAAACTTACTTTTTCTTTTGATGACAAGTTCAATAGAGAATTTTCCAGAACACTTTCATTCACTGATTTTAACAACACCTAAAAAATAAAATAATTAATGAACATTAAAATTTTTAAAATCATATTAAAATTAATAATATACATTAGGACAAAATTTTAGCATGACAAAATTATAAATTAAACCTATAATTTAATAAAAAATTTTTAAGTTAAATTATTTAATTATAACTTTGAATATTATCAATGTAAATTTTTCTATAATTTTATTTATTGTCAATTAAACATGTCCCAATATTTAAGTCAGTTGGCATAAAATTAGCCATTTTTTTTTTTTAAATTGCTGGTAATTTTCTATCATTAAAAAAAATTATAATAAAATATAATTATTATCATAAAATTTGGTAAAATTTATTTTTTTTTAATTTTATTGATACTTGTATTATTACATAAATTGATTATTAATAAAATGGGGAGAATAATTTTTTTTAATTTGATTTGGATGCTATACATATGTTGGCAAGACTGATTAACTCGACTGACATTTTATATTTAAATTTTTATTGAACACATGAAGTTTATTTATTGAAATAATAACGTTTAAAAATATATATATAAAATGTCAAAAGTTGTACAAGTTGATTTGGAGTTGAAAAAAGTAAGTTAAAAAAAAATTACAAAAAAATTTTTCGGCCATGTTATGTAAATGATAATTATAATTAAGTATAGGTTATGTTTTTGTTGGATGAGTATTTCATATTTATTTTTAAAAAAATAAATATATATGTGTGTGTGAGTTTTTTTTAAATGATTTGATGTGTATGAATAATTAATTTATTAGGCTTTTCAAGAGCTTCAAGCGAAAATGATCGAAACGAAACAAAAAATTAAAATGGCTGATATTCAAATTGAGCAATTGAATCATACAAAAGCACATTCAAAGCTAACACAAACAGAAATATTAAAATTAAAACCTAATAATAAAATGTATGAAGGAATAGGAAGAATGTTTGTATTTACAGACAAAGACACAATTAATCAACATGTTCAAGAAAGGTAATTAATATTTAATTGAATTTTTATGAATCATTATCGTCATTTACATCATCATGTCATCCACATCATGTGGAAGACATGAAATTATTATCGATAAATATCTATAATGAAAATTCATTATTAAAAATTTTACTTAAATATATACTTTTTAGGTACGACAAAGCAGACGAAAAAATTAAAACATTAGAAAATTCTAAATCGTATTTAGAAAGAAGTTTAAAAGATAGCGAAAATAATTTAAGAGAAATGATTCAACAAAGGAAAGACAAAGGCGAATTGTAATCTATGAGTAATAAAAATTAAATTTTTTATTTATATATATATAATCGATTAATTTCTGTTTTTTTCCTTTATGTGTAATTAAAAAAAAAAAGTATTTTAATTTAATTTTGATAATTATCATTATTTGTACTGATGTAAAACATGCTGTCTTTCTCTTGAAACTGATTTAAAGTTTTGCTAATCGAAACTAAAATATTAATACAATTTAATGTATTTTGCATTTGATTTAAATTGAACCATTTAATTCTATAATATATTGGTAATAATTTATTCAGTATTTAATATATTATTCATTTTTACTCCTTAATGAAATCCCATTGTAAAAGTAGCATTTATAAAAAAAAAAAATTTTTTTAATAATTTTAACAATCGTATGCTGTTGGTTTGGTAAATTTATGTATAATAACAGTATAATTTTGTTTTTCATTGTTTAAAACAATGAAAGCATGGAAAGAAAAAAAAATAATTGCCATTAAACTATTTTATTACTAACATTAAGTTAATTCATTGGAAATTTTAATGATTGGTTATTAATATTAAAAATTGTTTTTATATCGAATAAAAGTGAAACTTTTTAAGTTTATAAGCAATTAATATTAAGAGGTCACACAAAGAAAACATTATATATAGTTAAATTCGAAGTAATTATCATTATTAAAAAGATTATAATGTATTTTTATAGTAAAATTTAAAATTGTGAAATCGAAGGTTCTAGAATTATAAATGGATACTTCACAAACCCAGTATTATTTAGCTTTTAAGCAAGTTATTTTATGTAATCTTTTGGTCTATTTATCGTAATCATAAAAATACTCACTTTGCCCTTTAGCACATTTCAGAAAATTTTCTACAAGCACAAAAATTTCTAGAACACTAATAAATCGAACAAAATGAACCCGCCATAAAGAAAAACCGTTAAACTGTACGCGTACGCGCCAAAAACCGGAAATTGATTTTTTCAATCAAATTAGCTTTACTTGAATGTAAATTATTTTCTTAAATAATTGTTTTTGAAAAATATTAATAACTGATTTCCATATTATTTTTCGTTAAATCAATTAAACTTAAAAAATTTTTCTATTTATTATTTTTTTAAATTAAAAATGAAAATAATTTGAAAAGATGTGAGAGGGAAAAAATTAACGTAGTCTAGAACACCGCCGAACAAAGTGAAAAATTTTGAAAATGTGTAAAAAAAATTTAATATTCGATGGTCGTGAATAATTGTTTGATATTTTTCAAATTAAATATGCCCTTGTATTTAAACAAATATGGTAAGAAAGGAAATTATAGTTTTTTTTTTGTATGAATAAATTTTACTTCACGTTGAACTACTTTTGGCTTTGAATTGCTTAAGAGTAATCAAGCATTCATCATTTTTATTTTTGAGAATAAGAAAAAAAAAAAAGGTAAATTATAAGACTTTTTTTTAAATTTTGTAATAAATAACTTACTTATGATTTATTACACAACATTGATTGGTGGTTTTCATATAAAATATATACTTTGAAATATTAAATATATGTATCTTTTTTTATGATCAATGTTATATATGTATAATTAGATCAGTGCTTAAAAAAACATTTTAAAATGTGCAATTCGTTTATTCCAAATATAGACAAATTTAAACGTATGTAAAAAAAAAAAATACTTTTTAATTAAAATCAAAAACCTGATATTAGAAAGTAATGACAACATTTCATTTGAAACACTTCATAAGTGTTTATTTAACAATTCAATAATATTCATTCATTTTAATAACTTCATTATCAACAAATCAATTTAAAATTAATTAATATGTCTCGTTTGTAATGACAACACATACGAGAGACAAGACAATTCGAAATGTAAAAAACTTTTAAAAGAAAATATTAAAAAGATGTATTCATATGATGATAGTTATTGTATGACATAGTGTTGTCAAAACTAAAACAAATTTTTTAAAGTTTTGCTCTTATATCGACAACATTATTAATTTTGAAAGTTATTTTTAAAGATAACATCGAAGGGAAAACAAAAATTAAAAGAATGTATGAAAAAAAAATTCAAACTCCATAAATTATCACATTCTATAATTACCTCATTGAAAAAATAAAAAAACAAATAATTATTTACGACGTAATTATAACTTATTTAATAAATAAACTCCATAAAATATTATTAATTATTATTATTGTAAAAAAAAAAAAATTTATCACCTATAATTATAATTAAAAAAAAATATTAATTTGAAAATAATAACGTAAATCATCATTAATCAATTAATTATTATTATTTTTATTTAATTTTTAATGATAAACAAAACACAATCGTATACATAACTTATTAAAATAATACATAATTAAATTTTTTTTTTTTTCAGTCAAAAAAAAAATTATTTCAACACATTCAATAAAAGAAGGAAATGGAATCAACATCAATATGGGGAAAAAAATAAAAAAAATAAAAAAATTAACGTACGATGTCATAGCTGCCAACTTAAATTTGAAAAAAAAAAAAAAAATTTCACGAACGCATCAAATTTGCCGCGTTTTCAACAATACCAATGTGGTTAATATTAATTAAGTTCAAACCTGTCTTACATATAGGAGTTACGCTCTGTTCCATATTTAGTTACCGTGAGCGTGTTGGTTATAAAGCAAACAAGATATATATAAGAAAAAAAAAATTTATGTGAGTTTTATTTTATTTATTTATTTATGTATTTAATGTCTTTTCGTTTTATTATATAAATAAACGGTTTAAATAAATAAAAAGGTTTAAAAGAAAAGAAAAGTTGTGAATAAGGAAGAAAGAGAAAGAGAGAGAAAAAAATTATTAAAAAAAGGCGGTAAGAGTTAGACATTAAAAAAAAATAATAATAATTTAAAACAAATTCGTACAATTATTATTTAAATATATATATATATATAATAAAAAAACATTGTTATGATTGTAGTTATTTGTGTAAAAGAGAGAGAGAGAGAGAGAAAATATAATAACGTAATTGTTTTTATAATAGTAGGTCATTGGAACCTTAAACGTTAATGTAATTTATAATTTAATTTATGACACATATAATATATATATATATAAAAAAAGAAATTTTTTTGAATATTTGATTTATAAAAAAAGTTTAAATTTAAGGTACGAAAGAAATTTTTGGTTTTCAAATCAATGCAACTAAAAAACTACCTGTTTACTAAAAAAAAAAATCAATTTATATATTAATTATTAGTTGTGTAATTTTTTTTTTTTTTTTTAAAAAAAAAGAGTTTTGACCGAGTTTAGCTTCTACTTCTACTACTACTACTACTACCACTGTTACCACCACCACAACTACTACTAGCGGTAGCTATAATAAAAAAAAAAAATTATATTTTGTTGTAGAGAAAAGAAAAGAGAAAAAAAAGAAAAAAAAAAAATTTCTTGACCGTGTTGAGGGTCAAACACGATTTCGAGGCTGCTTCTCTTGCCTGCCCACCAGTTCAAAATGTTATTGTGTATGTTTTTTGTTTATAAAGGTGAACAATCAGGTACGATTTACTAGAAAAATTTTTTTTTGTTTGTTTGTTTTTTTTCTCACATTTTTTTGTTATTTTTTTTTTTTTATCTATTCGACGAGGGGGAGGTAGGGAGGTAGGGTGGGAGGGGAGAGAGAGAAAAGAAAGAAAGAAAAAAGTTATTTATTTTTTTGTTTTTTACTTACAACATTTTTTTCTTTCTTTTTTTTTCTTACGACAACGTTTTTTCTTTTTTTTTATCATTATCATTAGCATAAATAAAAAAAAATACCATAAACCTGTTTTTTATTGTGATGTGATAAGATTTTTGTGATTTTTAATATATTAAAAAAAAAAATAAATAAATAAATAAATAAATAACATTAATCGACGTGTTTATTAATATTAATTAATTTTTCTAGCATGTTTTTTTTTTTTCTTAAAAAAATATTTAAAATGTTAAATGTTTAAACGATAATAATAATGATAATGATAATAATAATAGTTTTTCCTTTTCGTTTTCGTAATTTAAAAAAAATTTCGACACAAACTCAAAAAAAATAAAAAAAACAATCAAACGTGATTTATATTACGACCGGATTTTTTATTTTTTTGGGGGGAAGGGAGGGGAGTGAGGGTTCACGCGACACGATTTGAAATTTTTTATAATGAATGAAAATATTAAAAAATAAAAAATCGTGAAAATTAAACTCACAAAAATCCAATGAAAATCGAATCGGAGGAAAAAGATTATCGTGGAATTAGAATCGTACGTCGATGACGTCGTAAATCCACGTCGTGATTATAAGAAAATGTCTGAAAACACTTGTATATATATATATATATATATATATATATATATATTATAGGAAGGTTTCGATGCGAATCGATATTGACGTCAATAAATTAATAATAATAATAATAATAAAAATAAAAAAGTACTGCTACTACTTCGAAGGGAATAAATAAATTGTTCAGACTGGTTTTTTCCTTTTATAATTTTTTTTTTGTTCAGTATTAAATTGAATCTCACGATTTTTAAAAAAAAAAAATAATCGAATATAATATTTTTACATTGATAATAATAATAATATTTATTTTTTAAGGTTGAAATAAATTGGAAAAGAAATTACGTGAGAACGGGGCGTTAGTTATTGTAAAAAGAAAATGTCGGAGAAGGAATGAATTTTCACGACTGCGAAAAGTTTTTTCGGAAAATCAGAAAATTTTACCCGGACACCAGGTAATTTAAAAAGTTTTAATTTCTACTTTTTTTCGAGAGAGAGAGGGGAGGAGGGAGGGGAGTAGGAAGGAAACAAACAAATTCGTGCCGGAAGTGATGTGTGGTAACGTTGGATTATCTACGATTTAAATACCCGCATTTTAAAGTGGGCGTGTGTGCGTGCGTGCGCGTAATGTTTTTTTTTTCTGGTACCTTAGTTCGTAAACGTTAAAAAGAAACGGTTGTTGTTGTTGTTGTTGTTGTGGTTGTTTGTTGACTTACGTGCGTGCGAACGT